AGTGTATTTCAGTATCTCTGACAGTTAGTTTTGCTCCCCACTCTGTCTCTGGTGAATCCTCTCACACTCCCACTTCACACATACCTCTGGCCTATACCTCAGCAATTATATACATAAATAAATAAAATATTTTTTTAAGAAAATAATGCAATGTGTGATAACATGGATAAACCTTAAGAACTCTATGTTAAGTAAAATAAGCCAATGCCAGAAAGAAAAATTCTGTAGGATTCCACTTACATGAGGTATCTAAAAGAGTAAAATTCATATGCTCAAAGAGTGAAATTTCGTTGCTAGGGGTTACAGGCCAGAAGAAAATAGGGAGTTACTAATCAAGGGATATAAATTTCATTTAAGCAGGATGAATAAGTTCTAGAGTTCTACTGTGCAACATATCTATTCAATTATTATGTACTAAACACTCAAATTTTTGTTGAGGGTAGATTTCATCAAGCATCCTAGCCCAGTAAAATGAAAAATTTTAAAAAGAAAAGAATGAAATCATCATAATTAAATCAAAGGGTCTACATCAGAGAGGAAACATTTTTCAGCTTGAAATTCTTACCTAGTTGCAAGTCTTCATAATTTTATAAACCCAAGTTCGGCAATATTGAGGATTAGCCAGGATGTAGAGTTACTGGATCTCTTACATATGACTCAGAAAATATACAACAATGCCACCAGTGTGAAAGTGTAAGTTTATGATATATACTTTTTAAAGATTTATTTTTATTTATTTATGCATACAAGAACTGTGGTATAGGCCAGAGGTGCAAGGGGTGAGAGGACTCACCAGAGACAGAGTAAGGGGCAGAACAGATGGCAGAACAACCTTCTATGTTTCCATTTACATAATACTGTGTGGCTCCATTTCTATAGTACTTTAACTCACAAAACTTTGAGGAAGATGAATGAATGCTTGGGTTAGGGTGGAGGGAAGTTTCCCCTATAAAGGGCAATGTGATGAAAGACCTATATTCCAGCCATGGTGCTGGTTACATACATATCCATGCGTTAAAATTTCATGTACTATGCACTCCCCCAAAAAAGCGTATTTAAAAATTGGTGTGTACTAAATAAAAGCTGTATTTTAGTTTAATAACATCATACCAATGTCAAATTTTGGTGTTGGCTAACATCTAAGGCTTTAAGAGATATTACCTTGGGGAAGTGAAGGCAAAAATACACCTTACTCCTTTTTCTTTCTTTTAAAATTTATTTATATATGCATACAAGAACTGAGGTACAGGCTAGAGAAGCAAGGGTGGGGTGAGAAGACTCACCAGAGAAAAAGTGGGAAGCAGAACAGGCGGACTGACTCAAGTACACTGCTGAGAGGAGCAGTGGAGGAGACAGGATGGGTCTGTGGCACCATGTGGGTCACTCATGCTGCAGTGGCTGTGGATAGCTTCTAGTGCTGTGCTTAACCTGTTTTGCCACCAGGGAGGGCCCTGTATACTACTTTTGAAGCTTCTTGTGTATCTTATTTCAAAATAAATAAATAATGATAATAATAATAACTACTATTATTAATTAGAAGAAAACCACACAATTCAATGAGAGTCTAGGTGGACAGGAACCCAGTTCACCTTATCACTTGGAAATATGCTGGTTTCACTCAATTCTACCACTAACCTTCCTGGCTTTCCTAATTACTAAGGTGTCCAGCTTTGGATAAATCGCAATCTATCTGTGCCTCTTTCCTCACAGGAAGAATGAAAGTAATAACAGTTCCTACATCCTAAGACTTGTTTTTTTCCCCTTTTCAACGTACCTCACATTCCAAAGTGAAAGCATGGACTTTTAAGTGTCAGCCCCCACTTTTTTTTTTTTTAAGATCTATTTATTTATGCATACAGAACTGGGCTACAGGCCAGAGGTGCAGGCGTGGTGAGAGGATTCACCAGAGACAGAGTGGGGAGCAGAACAGG